AAGGGCCCCCTTTACGTCAATTCCAGGGCCCCTGCAGGCAACTCAAATCGCTCCGACAATGTATGTGAACATTGTGGACCCATTGAGAACAGATGCTTCAGCAAGCAGGATGGCCGCATCATATGTGGAAAAGGTGGGAGCAGACCACCAATATCTGCTGTGGGTTCGAGTTCAGGTCTGTAGCTCGGCAGTTATGGGTCACCAATTCAGTGAGTAGTGGAGTGAGGCCCCTTGGGCCACTGTACGTATTCATAAGAAAAAAAGTAAAAAACGAGAGAGCTACGGGCATCTTCATCCTAACCCATAACTGCCGACATGCAGACCTGAATGCCAATCTTCAGCATATATTCGTGGTCGGCTGGCCTTGCCAAACACATCTCGTGACGTCTGTGAAGCACTGTGGGGCTGGTTGCTATTGGGCAATTACACCCTTCTCACAAATTTCTTCCACCACTGTGTGGGATTTGCAGAAGGGAGAGGGAAGGGCAGTTTTCACACCCAGCCTAAAAAAGAAACCTGGAATGAGTGAGCCCTATTTTCAAGATACACCATTTCAATTTTTTGGGGCAAGGGGCCTGCGGATGGTGAAATTTGGCAGCCCTTGCCCCCCAAAAAAATTTTGGGCCTGGGGCGCGGCCGGTTGCTGAAAGCACACGGCGAGTTGCACATTTTTTCTGGGGGGTGGGGGGGGCTAAGAAATTACGAACCCCTACTTTTTGTTTTTTTCTGTCCCGAGCTTAATTTTTCTGGTGCGGTGCGCATCGCGTGCGCAAATCCGTGCACCGAGGTGCGCTGCAACTATGAGTTTGATCAACCTGGATACTTTTCTGGGTGCTCGGGCTGTGTCTGAATGCCCGGAATACCCAGCCAGGCAAGGCCCCGAACAAGTGAAAGGGTAGTGAAGTACTACGCTCGCCGCTTGGCAGTGGCAGGTAGTAGCGCTACACATGTCTGGATTGCTCCTAGATGGGTATGTGCAGACTCAACAGAGGATGACGGATGACTGCGAGACTTGAGAAGAAGCAAACTTGAAACAAGCACACAGTCAAGACTCCAATGAGAGAGGCCCCGAGCAGACCCAGCATGAATCACCAAAAAAAACAAAAAAACAAAAAAAAAGAACTTTAAAAAGTGAAAAAGTTCTGGAAAAAAAGTGGCTGTGTGAATGTGTGTGAAGTTGCAATGCAAACAGCTTCTGGCTCAGGGTCGCCTCAGAATTCCGTATATTGAATCAAAGAAAAGAAGAAAGAAAAACTGAAGTAAGGCACACTCCTTCAAAGTTCAAACCCTTTTTCAGCCCCTTCAACCCCTTTTAACCCCTTTTAACCCCTTTCAACGGAATTCACAAGCCCAGATTTGGGCTGGTTTTGGTGCGTGCAGAAATGCCCTACCTATGGGGGGGAAAGGAAGAAAAATCCAGAGTTTTGACATGCCTGGGTTGACCTTGGCGGGAGACCCACTGGAAGAGGGGTCACACGTACTCGGGCTCACACGTACTCGGGGTTTTTACTGAGTCTTACTGAATTTCACTGAATTTTAAGGGCCGGTTTATGACACAAGTGAGTCAATCGGTTGGTCACTTATCTGCTTCCATTCACTGTGGAGTCTGTGTGGACTGACGTTAGTGACAGATGCAAGGAAATAAGCAATGAAATCCAAGATTCACGGAAACCAGATTGCAACATCNTCACTGTGGAGTCTGTGTGGACTGACGTTAGTGACAGATGCAAGGAAATAAGCAATGAAATCCAAGATTCACGGAAACCAGATTGCAACATCTCATGGAAGACCAGACATAATATAGCCAAATTGGAAGCAGAAATCCAAGATTCCAAGTGAAATGCACATCAAATAGGAACGAGCAATACACCCAAGTCTCTTGCTGAAGAAAGCCCTTCCCTACTACTACTACTACTGGTGTACTGAACGCCCTCTCTCTCTCTCTCTCTCACACACACACACACACACACACACACACACACACACACACACACACACACACACACACACATACATGTAGCCTATCTACATGCCAGCAATCAGTCCACGTGTCAGTCGCCCAATGCCGCTTGAAGTCTCTGATCAAACAGCCTGCCTTTGTCTATATCAGGTACGTGCCTCGTTCTGACCACACCTCCCTTCTCTCTTCCTTCCCCAAGGATCACCGCGTTTCCCAACATTCAGATATGTCAGTGACCAACCCCGATATGGCTGGCACTCTTCCCTTCGTTCACTCGCTGCCGCCACACCAGCTTCCTTCACCGGGCGCTGAGCAGCACTGGCTCGTAGCGAGGTCGTCTCAGCCTAGATGCCCGAATGTGCCTGGCTGGGCGGCCAGCCTTCTTTTGTGCTGGCTGGCGAGGCTGGAGAGGCCACGAGAAGGCTGTGCCCCTGTACCAGTATCCCGTGCCGTGGGCCTCTCCAGAAGAACGTGCAGGCCCAGCCTCTGTACCCAACTTGTGGGCTGGGCCTACCGGTTGGCAACAGAGGCTGCACGCTGCATGCAGGTAATGGCATTTTTCTGCTCGCATTTACCTGTGCTTTGCATAAAGTAATGCAGAGGAGGGTTATTCGACAGGTAATTGATTTGGTTGGGCTTAAAGAACTAGCCTTAAAAAGAAGAAGAAAGAAGAAGAAGTGATCGCAGGGTCATTTTCTGCCTGGGGGCTTTTCCTGAGGCCGGCCCTCACGTAGGGCCTGCTTGCATTTTCAAGGTGCACCTTCACTTAGGGTGGGCAGGGCCTTTCCTGCACGGCCGAGGGCCGAATTCCTCGCACGGATCTTATGGTGGCTGACACTGGACCTGGGGTCTGGTCCCACCTACAGCGTTGAGTTTTCTCAACGCTGAGTTTTCTATATGTGCGGCATGGTGGGATGGAGCTCTGCCGTTGATGTATTGCGAATCTAATGGTACCAAAATACAGGAGAATAACCTATTAGATTTAGTCATTTTGTAGAATTTTTCTTTGACGTGAAAAATCCGTTTTGTATTATGGTTTGGGCGGGAAACCATTTTGCATTGAAAAAACTACCCTGCCGAGGGTAGGGTACATTTCTCAACTGCAGTGCCTTTCCTTTGTTTTGGTTTTCTTGACATCGTTGCATCCTGCGACGTCTGACAGCTGTGTTTGGCTCTCTGGCATCAAACTCGTTTCCTTCGTTGGCCAATGAATGCATTTGGCCATCCACGTTGTCCCTGTCCATTTTACAAATGGTGACCTCCTGTCCCCTCACCACGGGGAGTATCCTTTTTTCATGGAGACATTCACTACGACTGTTCCAGACATGTTTCATTTGTCCGAGTTACGTCATCAAAAATAAGGAGAAAAGCTGTTTCTAGCGTTTTTTTCAGTTTTTTAATTTCTTGTTTCAAACTTTCGAATTTATTAACGTTGAAATGGCGTCACACCATTGAGTTTTCTGAACTCAGCAACGGTAGGTGGGACCTTTGCCGTTTCGTTTCGGCAAGTTGTAGGCTATTCCCAAACTTTTAGGAGGCCGGGCCCTACAACAACTGCCGTTGATAAATCTGATCGGCGGCCGTCGTTTCGTTTCGTTTCGGCCTCCTGAAAGGTCGGAGGCCCACTCACTATTTTCCGAACCGACAAAGGTACTCGTGGTTAAAAAAAAAAAGCAAAAAAAAAACGGTGGTGGCTGTCTTTTGCTTTCGGTTTGGTCGGCAACTACACCCCCCCCCCCCCCCCCCCCCTTTTTTTTTTTTTTTGTTTTTTTTTTTGGGGGGGGGGGGGGCCCCGGGGGGGGGGGGGGGGGGGGGGGGGTTTTTTTTTTTTTTTTTTTTTTTTTTTTTTTTTTCCCCCCCCCCCCCCCCCCCCCCCCCCTTTTTTTTTTAAATTGAATCCTTTTTTGGCAGTGGACGAAGTCCCTGGGCTGGGGGGGGAAGTTGGGGGTTGTTCTTATTCTTGGCTTTTTTTGGTTTTCCTTACGTCCCTGCAGCCGACAGGTTTACCCTCTTTCCCAATCAAGCAATCATACATGCCAGGAGTGCAGGCGCGGATCTCATTGGCATTGAAGATAGATGCTATCTCCCACAAGTCTTCGCAGGTACTCTTTCTTTTTGAGAACAGATGCGTCTTTGGGTCTTTGTCAGTACACAAAACTCTATATGTATCTGGAGCTCATAATAGTCCCTATGCATTCAAAAATGTTGGACGATTTTGAATGTTGGACAATTCCAGATGCACGCGGTTGAAAAATCTGTCCAAATGCGTGTATAATGCCTGAGCAGTGGAGCGAGGCCCTTTCTCTCCCGTTCCCTATGCCAGTGTGCTGCCCATTATGCCATAGCGTTTTAACAAAGTCGAAAATCGTACCCTCGTAGTTTAAGATTGCACCCTGATCGTCCAGGAAGATGTCAAAATGCAGCCTAGATCCTGTCCTCTTTGTAAAAAAAAAAAAAAAAAAAAGTGCAGCCTGGGCTAGGCTGGGAACAAACAGGGTAATGCTGCTGCTCTGGCGTTCTACCTGGTGCCACCAGCTGTCGTGAACTTTCTTTTCTTTTTGTGTTTTCTTAAAGGAATATAAGAGTAGGGACATGAATGCATTCCTTGTTGCTGAATAGTATATGCCTGTGTGCTGGTAGACAAATCACGGTTTCAAATCCTGCTGGTTGCAATAACATTAGTGGCTACCGTCTTCACCCGAATAGAATGCCCAGTCATTATGGCTGCATCTGGTCTGAAAGTTGCCCCAAATACGGCTGTAATGACCGGGCGTTCTATTCGGGTGAAGATGGTAGTCCCTTTTCTGTTAGAACTTAGAACTACTTTTTTTTTTTTTTTTTTCCCTTTTTTTTTAATACCGGCGTCAGGCTGCTAGAGTGGGTGATATGTGCATCTCTCTCTCTCTCTCTCTCTCTCTCTCTCTCTCTCTCTCTCTCTCTCTCTCTCTGTGTGTGTGTGTGTGTGTGTGTGTGTGTCTATGTGTGTGTGCATGACCCTGCCAACGTTGCGCTAGGCGGACAAGTGGCCGACCAGTGGTGCTCACATGTCAATCCATTGGCTTGTCGGCAACCAACAGTCAGGTCCCTCCTTCCTTCTCTCTCTCTCTCTCTCTCTCTCTCTCTCTCTCTCTCTCTCTCTCTCTCTCTCTCTCTCTCTCTCTCTCTCTCTCTCTCTCTCTCTCTCTCTCTCTCTCTCTCTCTGCATGACCCTGCCAACGTCGTGCTAGGCGGACAAGTGGCCGACCAGTGGTGTTCACAGGTCGATCCATTGGCCTGTCGGCAACCAACAGTCAGGTTATGCCGACACTGGATTAGGTATGATTCTGGTGGGACTGTGTTTCTCCACTCACTCTTCAATTTGGAGCTGTATTCTGCTGGAGTGCTTTTTTTGGGCAGTCAGGAACTTGAGTTTCGAATTTGTTTTCTTCTTTTTGGGTGGGGTATGATCGTCATCTGTTGTACCAAGGAACTAACCTTGTTCCCTCAGATACATCACCCAACCCGGTCATTATACCTGTACACAGTGCAACTTTCTGGCCACGTACATCACCCCATGTGACTGAATGCGTCGTTCCAGGGAAGAAGGTAGTGATGGTGGTGAAAGGGAGAGTTCGTATGACAAAGCACACAGCCCAGCGATCGCTGGGTAGGGCGAGCGGCCGTACTTCTTTGTGGTTTCCTGCTTGCACCGAACATTGCATATTCAAATTTTTATAACTGTTTTGGCACAATCACTTAAAAAACAAAAATGATCAATCATTGCGTAATGGTTGATGGTGCAGGAAAAAGCACAGAAGACATGGATGGAAAGGAATGCGAAAGCAATGGACATTGTTTTGGAGAGTGATGGAAACTCAAGCGATGGGAATGATGGAGGTCGGCGGAGTCCGAACGAGAAGCTGAAGCCCAGCAAGAAAAGTAGTCTCCAATTGAAGGCTTTGCAAAAGGTGAGAGTGTAAATACTTTTTTTCTTTTTTCTTTTTTCTTTTTTTGTTTGTGAGAGACTCAGAGGGAGTAAATACTAAATACTAAAGAGTAAACACTAACTTTTTTTTTTTTCCGTTTTTTTTTTTCCTCTTTTTTTTCCTTTTTTTTTTTATTTATCTTGAACCTTAGAACAATAGAGTAAACAGTAACTCAATTTAACAAAATAGTAGAAACTAAATAGTAAATAGTAGTCCATGAAAATACCTCAAAATAAAAGTAATGAGTGTATTAATTTTACTAATTAAAAAAAAAGGAATAATGAAAAAAAAAAAGTTTGTGGTGTTGTCCTTCAAAGTTCAAACTCCTTTTCATAATGCCCTTTTTCCATCTGCTTACTTGTTCCGTATCTTGATTCTCCCCGCCGCAGTTGGCAAAACATCTTGGTGGGTGCTGGAGGGGGGGGAAGGAGGTGAGCAGTCGTTGATCGACATAGCGAACCTACTGTCGTCCTCCAAACAGGTCACAGGGACACGCCCTCATCATGACGGACTGTACCTGACCGGAAATATAGCTTGCATGCGTTCATGAACCTTCAGAACGAAGAGGCTGCATAAATTCATGATTTATTATCATTCAAAAAGGAAGAAGAGGATAGTCAGACAGAAATGAAAAAAAAAAAAAAAAAGAGAATGAAGAAATGGCAAACTTACAACAGTCTTATTTGGATAGCCTAATTTGGTTTGCCCCCCCCCCCCCTTTTTTTTCCCCCTTTTGATGGCCTAATCTGTTTGGGGCCCGCCTTTTTTTTCCCTTGTGTTCTTGTGTTGCATAATGTGTTTCTCTGTAAAATTTTCAATGGATCATGTGCACATCAAGGGTAGGTGATCATTCTTCCATCAACATAACGTGCAACGGTCCTCCCACGAACATAACGCGCCCTAATTATGTTGCGTCCGGCCCTCTTCGGCCCTTTTTCTTCCATGTGGTCGGTTCTGTCCCTTTTCAGCCCTTCTTCCATCAACACAACGTGCAACGGTCCTCCCGCGAATGTAACGCGCCCTAATTATGTCGGGTCCGGCCCTTTTCGGCCCTTTTTCTTCCATTTGGTCGGTTGCGGCCCTTTTCGGCCCTTCTTCCATCAGCATAACGTGCTGCCGTTCTCCCCCGAACGTAGCACATCCTAATCGTGAAATTATATTACAAGATATCTGGTCGCCCCTTTTCAGCCCCTCCCCTTTTGGTCCTTTTCGGCCCTTTTCGGCCCTTCTTCCATCAACATAACGTGCTGCCTGATTCTCTGGAAAATTGGCAATAAATCATGTGAAAGTCAAGGGTAGGTGAGGGTAGGTGACCATTCTCCCATCAACATAATGTGCTACCGTCCTCCCCTGAACGTAACACACGCTAATCGTGATCTGCTACTGTGATGACGGTGTGTTGCATCCAGCGGAAGATAGTAGTAATACTCAGTGTCACTCACTCACGTAATGATACAGGGAATGGGGAAGGCGCAACATGTTGGTGGCGCGATTGTTTTGGCCGTTTTTAAGTCATCGGATTGGCCCAACCGGGTCCCCTGCCCGGCCCATTTCAGCGCTTTCTGGCCCCTTTTTGGCCCTCCCTTTTCAGTCTTTTTCAGCCGCTTCCAGCCCTTTCTGGGCCTGTTTTAGCCCTCCCGTTTTGGTCTTTTTCGGTCCTTTTCGGCTCTTCCTGGCCCTCCCGTTTTGGTCCTTTTCAGCCCTTTTTGGCCCTCCCTTTTCGGCCCTTCTCGGTCCTTTTACCCCTTTCTGGCCCTTTTTGGCCATCTTTTGTGACAGGGCTCAGTCCTTCGCTACACAGTGTTGAGGTCACCCTTGGGCATGATGCTGCACTAACAGCAGTAGCTGGGCAGCATAGAGATTAGCGCTGGATGGGTAAGAGGATTAGCAGAGTAGTGGAGAGAAGGCCTTCAGCAGCAGGGCAGCGTCGGAGCATTCACCTGGTGCCATACCTACGTCGTCAGTGCCAGAGAGAGAGAGAGAGAGAGAGAGAGAGAGAGAGAGAGACTTGGTTACTATTTCAGGAGTTGCCTCGCAGACTATTGTGTCTTCTTCTTCTTCTTCTTCTTCTTCTTCTTCTTCTTCTTCTTCTTCTTCCTCCTCCTCACAGTCGTCTCATTCCCCGCCTCCGTCATCTGTGGTAGGGAGACCTCCGTCATCTGTGGTACTTCTCCCCATTTGGACTTCGGCGTCTCCATGGTTCTGCATCATGCTTATCTGATGATAAGCATGTGACACATACCCCCCCCCGCCTTCCACCCGTTCCCCCCTCTTAGATAGCACGAGGTGTGCAGGCAGCCTCTGTTAGGGAACCCCTATGCCCTCGATGAAAATGGAAGGTCTTCCATCTTTTCTGTGTTTCTTTTCTTCTTTTCTTCCCCTTTAAGAAGGGCGTCGATCTTGAGATATTATCATTGAACGGACCGGCCCCAGAGGCACTTCCGGATTATTTTATTGCATCTGGACTAGGGTCTGTATTTCAACAGTTCATGAGTGTACCAACTGAGCTAGAGCCATCGGTAGAAGGCCTTCCATCTTTTCATGCAGGTCCTCCCAGGCATTCCTGGGCCGAGAAGGGAATTTACACCGGTGCAGACTTCCGTGACCATAAGAGATTAGACTGGAAAAGATACAAGGGGAGCATTTTTCGCGAGTACTCAGATATGTGACCTGTTTATGAGTTTGGCTGGTTTACAGGAGGCCATCCCCAAAGGTCTGGGAAAGAGCAGCACTAAGGCAGGGCCTCTGCAGGGAAAAGTAGGGCATTGCCGAGTGCCCTTTCAGACACTCTGCGTAGCCATGGTTACCTATGGAGTGGATAGAAGACGATGAACCTGGCCACCGCAGGGGCCAGGTGGTCCAAGCTGATGTGCAACAAACTGCTCGATCAAGAGGCTTCTTGGGCTGTCAGGCTGTTCTGATGCGAGTGCGGGTGTTCTCTGACAAGGATGACTTTTATACATTTGAGAGAAGCCACCCGGTTGGTCATCTTCGCTGTGTTTAGACTGAAAGTAGGCCAAATACAGATATAATGACCGGGCGTTCTGCTTGAAGACGGTAGGGGCTCCCGTCTACCCCATCCAGATACGGCGAAGATATAGCTGCTGTATTTGGCCTACTTTCAGTCTAGATACAGCGAAGATGAGGGTGATCACTGACAAGGATGACGTTTATGCATTGGAGAGAAGCCACCCAATCGTGTCCCTCCCGTGAGCCGGCAGAATGGGAGTGGGCTGCATCTCAGCCAATGGCATTATAGCAGTACCCTGTCCACAGAGGATATACCTTCTGTCTTGACCAGGTGCCTGCCGCCCTCATCTAGACTGAAAGTAGGCCAAATACAGAACCAGGTGCTCCTAGGATGGACTACCACCGTCTTCGCACCGAACAGAGCGCCCGGTCATCGTCGCCTCATCTAGACTGAAAGTAGGCCAAATACAGCCACAATGACCGGGCGTTCCACTTGAAAACGGCACTACTCCCCTCTCTACGTAGCAAAGTATGAGCTAGTTTTCCTGGGACTATTATGCGGTCCATTTTGCTGGCTTCCCATTGGGCTCTCCAGTGGCAAATCCCGCATGGTGACCCATGTTTATCCCCCCCCGTAGACTGGATAGTCTCAAGGGCCTTTTGCTGGAACAAAAAGGAAGACTTTCCCTTTTTTTGTCAGCCCTGTGACAATTAACCCGCAGGCGCTTGATGGTTCGAATGACCCAGCGCATCATTTGTTGGCTTGTCCACCACCAGTTCCGGTATGGGTCTGGTGGGACACACCATGGGCCCATCAACCCCGAGGCGCATGATGGTTCAAATAACAGCATCATTTGTTGGCTTGTCCACCACCAGTTCTGGTATGGGTCTGGTGGGACACACCATGGGCCTATGTTTCAGTTCCTGGTATCTCCACGGCATGAGACCTCTCTTGTTTGGAGGCAACAAGACAACCTGCAAGAACGCTCAGGGCATCCTCACACTACCGTCTTCACCCAAATTAGCATGCCAGCATTGCCCGGCCATTTTCCGCTGCATTTAGTGTAACTTTCGGCCTAGATACAGAGCACTAATGACGGGGATTCTATTTGGGTGAAGACGGAAAGACCTTCTCGATGGCATCACAAGACAACTTGCGAGAACGCTCAGGGCATGCTCACGCTACCGTCTTCACCCAAATAGAATGTCCGTCTATTTTAACGGCATTTAGTGTAAATTTCGGTCGAGGTACAGTCCACTAATGACGGGGCGTTCTATTTGGGTGAAGACGGTAGGACGTTTTCGACTTGTCAGTGGATGTAATTGCCGCCAGGTGCATCCAGGCATAGACGGGAAAGCAGTCAGATACGTCCAGGAAACTCCCCTCATCCCTCAGTCCTCAACTGCAGGACATTTTAAGTCACCAGACAGCCAGACAGGCTGTGCTTTTACTAGCATTTGGCCTCTTTTTTTTTTTTTCCTTTTTCCTTTTCCTTTTGCTTTTCGGCTTTTAGCTATTTAGTGGGTACACCACTCTTTCGACGGAAAACAATACCCATAAAGGGGACATAGAGGACCACATGTGATCCTGTATGTCCTTCATGTCCCACTTACCCTGGGAATAAGAGGGTCTAGTGGCCAGCTGGGAATGGAGAGAGATGAAAGAGGAGATAAAAGACAAAGGAAGAAGGGTGAACGGCCAGCTGGGGATAAGATTGGGAGCCCAATGCGGTTCATAGGCCGCCTTTTTGTGTGTTGGTCCCCACATCAGTATTGTATCTGACCAGTCCTCGGTGTCATCGTCCGTCAAATCCGCGTTGTAATGTAGTCGGCCATGCTTGCCACCAAACCAGGCCCATTGTATCTGAACAGCTCTCATTAATCCCTTCGAAGTTTGAAGAGATCCCCATTCCTGAAGATCTCTAATCAATCCCTTTGGGCTGTCTTGGTCATGAGCCCATTGCCGGTTCACAGCCCGCCTTTTGTGTGGTTGGTCCCCACAGCAGCATTTGTATTTGACGAGGACTACTCGGCGGCAAACGTGTGCTGTAATATAGTCAAATGCTAGGCTACGAGAGTGGCCCTGGACGGCCGGGCA